CGTACCGTTCCTACCACAACAACACACACACACACACACACACACACACACACAACACCCAACAGCCCCAAGAGATGCTTAGCAAACAGCAGTGAGGTCTAGCCTTCCCCTCTTCAGGGGTGTGGAAGCTAGATGAGCCTTAGGATGAGCAGCTGGTCCAGGTGGTGTCAGGGTCAGTGGACAGTGATGTCCAGGCACGTCTGCCCCCATGAGTTACTGTTCCTACTTATCAGGCACATTTGGTTGGAGCCAAGAGTTCACTTCCACCAAGAGAAAGACCCTTAGTTTCCTTCTCCCAAGAATTGGGAAGCATTTGATGATATTTTCCCACTAGCAAACACTGAGAAACAAACATTTCTGTTACTAGTTTTTTACAAGTACATTCGTTGACCTACTCCCCAAATTCATCATAACACGTTGTGCTGGTAACTGCAACAGAGAAGCAAGGGGAGAGGTTTTTTTCAGCTTGCTAATGTATGAATAACAGCATCTCTGTTCTTTTTTTTTCTTTACGTAAAAAATAAAGTGTACTGTCTCCCAATAGAGAAGATGACAGGGGTGTATGCATAGATAATTACATGAATTTAGCTGTTTGTCTAGGGAAATCAGCTCTCTTTTAAAGAAGTTGTTTTTTTTTAAATGCTTTCTCAGAGTACTTTTCTCCTGTTGATCACCTTCCGGGGGTTGACAGTGAGGTTTGCCAATTTCCTTCTCCCAGAAATGTGCTCACGTCAGGATTCTCTCCCGCAGTGTTCCTACAGAGCTGTGGACTGTTCTTCCCTCAGTGAAAGAACAGCCAAGTCCACCTCCAGCCAGGCCACTGTGGTTCTAGAACATTCTGCCACTTGCACGCTGTGTGGTTCTGGGCAAATCACACCACCTTCATGAGCCAGAATCCTCATCTGCAAGATGAGAATGATTCTCTTTACCCCATCAGGTTCCATGTGGCTACAATGAGATCGTGATGGTGAAGGCTCCCGAGACAGCACACAGCTTATAAAAGTGCCAATAAATATTATTGTTCATCTCTCCCTCCCATCAGAAAAGTGACAACTGTCCCTGCCGTTACTGAGCGTGTGGCATGTGCTGGGCATCTCACCTGCATGCTCTTGTTTAACCCTCAGAACGTGGAAACAATCTGATGAGGTATTACCAAGTCCTTTTGCAGATGAGGAAAATGAGAGATTTAGGGACATGACTCTGGTTCCTTCCCTATAAATGAAAGCGCGAGAATTTGAAGCCAGATGCATGCGACTTCAGAATGGCTCATCTCATGAGGTGGCAAGCCTCTTGACCCTCTCCATCTCTTACACCACTTGGGAGTAAATATGAGTACCCACTGTTAGGTACTCAAAAAGACTCCTCTTTCCCCACAAGGAGACGCTGCCCCTTCCCCACACCTCTGTGCTCCAGAGCAGGTGGAAACCAAACCCTGCTCGTAGGCTCACTTCTGTCTGGTGGAGGACTCCCTTTCAGAGAGAGGGACCCAAAGTGCCAGGTCCCCAGGCATCCTCTGCCCTTCAGAGGCACCTGACCACTCAGCTCCTTGCTATACAAACTCAGAAGCTCACAGGAGAGCTTGTACCACCACTGCAAGCAGCATCTCCCCCTGTGCCAACTTGGAGAGGTGGTGAGACGGTCCGGGAGACAGTCCTTCTGCACCTTGCCAACGTGTGCTGCTGGTCAGTTGCCCCCCCTTTTTGAAAATAGCCTATTGCTTTTCATCCATATATGGATGCAGGGCGCTTCTGCCGCAGCAATGCTCTGTGAATCCTTCTCTTTGCCTCCATGGATTGCTTCTGGGATCAGGTCCTGTGCTGGACGAAAGTGGGGGACTCGGTGGCAGCCAACACAGGGTATGTGAGGAGTGCCACCCTCTCTGGTCAGGAGAACAGACACCACACAGAATATTCCATATAAGTGTTTGCCAGAGACCTCTGTGCAGTTAAGAGAAGTGCAGAATGCTATGCGAACGCAAGACAAGGGGGTCTGGAAGGACCTGAGATATAGGAGCTGTGGGGGGCTGCTTCCCTATTGCTGCAGTAACACATGACAATATGCTTGGTGGCTTAAAACAAATCTTATGGTTCTGAAGTTCAGAATTCTGAACTGTGTCTTTAAAAAATTTTTTTTATTGAAGTATAGTTGGTTTACAATGTTCTGTTAATTTCTGGTGTACAGCATAATGTTTCAGTTATACATACATTCCTTTTCAGATTTTTTTCATTATAGGTTATTACAAGATATTGAATATAGTTCCCTGTGCTAGACAGTAGGACCTTGTTTGTTTATCTACTTTATATATAGTAGTTAGAATCTATAAATCCTGAACTGGGCCTTATAGGGCTAAAATCAAGGTGTTGGCAGGGCTGTGTTCCCCCAAGAAGCTCTAAGGGAGAATTTATTTCCTTACTTTTTCCATCTTCTAGCGTTTGCCAGGATTCCTTTGTTGGTGGCTCCCAGCCAGTAATCACATCACTCCAACCTCCACTTCCGTAGTCACATCTCCTTCTCTGACTGTCTCGCTTTCCACTTTCCGTGATAAGGACCTACATGATTTCATGGGAACCATCTAGATAATCCAGGTTAATCTTCCCATGTCAAGATTCTGAACTGAATCACATCTGCAGAACCCCTTCTGCTTCTGTAACAGAGTCACAGGTTTCAGGAATTAGGTTGCGGACATCAGTGGGGAGGCCATTGTTCTGACTACCACCCGGAGTAAAAGAAGAGTTGAGGAAAAAAATAGGGAAGAGGAAGCTGTCAGAAGAGTAGCTGCGGGAGGGCAGGAGGGAAGCAGGTGTGGTGGGCAGCCAGAGAGAGTGCCTTACAGAAAGGTCTAGAGGTGGGAAGAGATTTGCTGCCTGGACCTGAAAGGGTCCTGGGTTGGTGGTATGGGGAAGAGGGAGAGTGAGAACACATGAGACCAAAGCAGCTAGCAGTGGTCAGCTCGTGAAAGGTTGGGCTGTGTTCTGGGAGGACTACGGAGTGAGCACATAGGTAGGGAAGGGATGGATCCACATCTGTGCTGTAAAAGATGACTTTGAAGTGGGGGAAGGAGGTAGAGGTCAGTGGTAGAGTGCTTGCTTGGCATGTCCAAGGTCCTGGGTTCAATCCTCAGCATCTCCGTTAAGTGGGGGAAAAAAGAAAGAAAATGAAGAAAAAGAATGACTTTGGTAGTTCTTTGGGGGATCAGATTAGAGGGGGCAAGAAGGAATTCTGGGAGGCATGGTAGTGAGAGGGAAGAGAACACGGCGGCTTGTCTAAAATGTGGGTTCAGATTCAGGAGATATTTAAGAGGTGGAGTCCACTGAGATGGGCAGGAGGCACCACTGGTGGTTGAAGGTGCGGTGTCAGGGTGACATCAACAGATGTGTGAACATCTGGGTGACTGGTAACACCTGCATGAAGACAGGAAGCTTGGAAGGAGTGAAGGTGTGTGGTGAGTATGTGAATAAAGTTTTGGACCCAGCTTGAGTTGCCGGTATGATGTTCAAGTTGAGCTGTTGAGTAGCTGTATTGATGTGGAATAAAAGTCAAGGCTGGACCTCTTTTAGAGACATTTATTCAAATTGTAA